CATTTGTGCAAGCGCATGTGGTGGCTACTGCAGAATCAGAGCAATTGATTAAAAATTAGTCACATCTCTATTAAATTCCATCTTTGTATAATCCATAGTTAGTTTAATTTCAGTTCTGGTACCTGAACCCATCTCTGCTGACAGCCCCAACTGAATTTACACAAACCCATGCCAGCTCCATGTGGTCACAACATAGACAACAGTGTCCTATGGTCCAACAAAGGTGGACAGTCACAGTTTGACCACAAGAATGCATCAAGTTGGAAATATACCCAACACAACAGTGTAGTGGGGAACCTCTCACCTGGAGATGAAGATGGGTTGCACAGAGCTTCTCGTACCACCTCACTGCACAGCAGCAGAAAGTGAGCAAATGACTCACATCTGGGAAACTGCTTCGACCATTAACTTGTGCATTCACTTAAGGCATACAAAACATTCAAGTCTCACTGTCGACTCCTGGTTAGCCAGAACCAGATATTCAACTGTTACAATAAGAGTTAGGTCAAGAGATCACAGGATGTAATTGGGACAAGATAGATAAAGATCATGGCCCAATGGGGGTGAGGGGTGGGAGAAATGAGGCAGAAAATCTACCCTTGAGGGTGTGGCTTAAATAAATACAATTCCTAAGAACAGGCATGAACCTTCTACCAATAGGTTCTGACTAAACTTGTTATTTCTCAAAATTCTAACTCTTAACTCTAATTCTTGCAAGAAGCAAATGCCACTTCGTATCTTGTTTAAGTTAGAAGGCCTTCCAGCTACATGCAAAAGTTTAATGGGACTGAACTCAAGTACATAAACTTTTAATTTCTCCTTCGCGTCCAGACAGCATGTGAAAATTGTCCAACTATCTCCCCAGCTGAACTGAATGTCTCATCACAGAAGTTATATGAAGTCAGCATCTCAGATTTTTAAATAGCCCACAATTAGTGGCTCAGTAAATTGAACTGTTTACAGTTCCCATACACCATACAGGATTAAAAGGGATTCTGCCTTGAGCTCAGACTTGATGGAATAAGGTCTTTTATTTACTCCTTTATTTATCTCCTTTATAAAACAGCTTTTCCAACTGATCCGATTTTGCAGAAAGCATTTATGCCAATCTTCAAGCCTGTGACACACTTTGTGCAATATTCTTAATATGCTTCCTCAGGCCACTTCCGCTGCTGATGACAGACTTGTAACCACCAAATTTCATCCCATGATTGCAAAAGCTCAAAATGCTCTCTCCACACAAGTTAAGAATAAAAAAAACAATAATTAAAACACTAGGCATTTTTTAAAATGGAGTACATACGCAGCCACATATTGTGCAAAAAGTTTCCACTTCACTGAAAAGCTCACCGTCAGCCTGTGAACAGAAAAAGTTGACAGAAAGGAACACCTGAACTTAAAAATATTAAAGCACTCACATTAAGCAATGGTGTACAGAGCAGAGCACATGAACACTAATGGACAGCGTGTGTTTGTCCTGAAACTCAAACCAAGGACCCCCTGCTTCCAATAATCAACTTGAACCTTCACACAATCCTACACTTCTCCATATTCACAAAGGAAAGGGATGATGTGGATAGAGTAATCCAAGAGGAGCAGTGTTGAAATATTGGATAAAATAATCATGACCAGACAGGAAGTGTTCAAGGAGTTGGAATAATTGAAAATGGAGAAGTCACCAAGACCGGATAGATTATTCCCTAGGATGTTGAAGGGGGTCGAAGGATTATTTTTCCAATCTTCACTAAACTCAGGTGAGGTGCTGAAGGACTAGAGGAATACAAATCTAGTTCCATTGTTTAAAAACAAAAAAAAAAGGGTACGAAGGAAATGCCAAACCATTAAATCAGCCAGTCAGTCTTACTTTGGTGGTGGGCACATTGTTAGAATCACTCAATCCTGAGATCAGATAAACTGTCACTTAGAAAGGTACAGGCTAGTCAGGGATAGCCAGCACGGCTTTGTTTAAGGAAGGTCATGTCTTACAAATTTGGTTTGAATTCTTTGAGAAAATGACAAGGTGGTTCAACAAGGGTGCTGCAGTGGATGTTGTCTACGACATTTGACAATGGCAGACTGGTCAAAAAAAAAGAAAGCCCATGGGATACAGGGTAATGTGTTGAATTGGATCCAAAGTTGGCTTAGTGATAGGAAACAATGGTCAATGCCGGCCCTCGCAAACAGAAAGCTGCTTCAGTTGGTGTTCCACAGGGCTTGGTGATGGAACCCTTGCTGTTTGTTTTATACATTAACAATTCGGACTTGAATGTGGGAGTACAAATGAGAAATTTGCAGACAACACAAAAATTGGCCACATGGTGGATTGTGTAGAGGATGGCTACAAGCTCCAAAATGATATATATGGGTTGGAGAACTGGGCAGGAAAGTGGCAGATGGCATTCAATACTGCTAAGTGTGAGGTAATGCATTTAGGGAGGTCAAACAGTGAAAAGGGAACACACAATAACAGGGAATATATTGAGGGGGTAGATGAAGCGAGAGATCTTGACATGTAAGTGCACAGGTCCCTAAAGGTAGCAGTACAGGTAAATAACATTGTAAAGAAGGCATATGGAATGCTCTCCTTCATTGGCACAGATATCAAATACCAAAAGTAGGAATATAATGATGAAACTGCATAAGACACTGGAGAGGCTGCAACTGGAGTAGTGTGCGCTGTTCTGGTCACCACATTACAGGAAGTAGGATGGAATTGCTGTGGAGAATTTTTTTACTACAAGATGTTGCCAGGGCTGGAGAACTGTAGAAATGACAAGAGGTTGGAGAGATTGGGGCTGTTTTTCTTGGAACAGAGAAGGCCGAAGGGTGACATGATTGAGGTATACAGAATTGTGGCGGGCAGAGTTAGAGTAGACAGGAGGGACCTGCTTCCCTTGGTACAGAGTTCAAAAGCCAGGGGTTATCGATTCAAGCTAAAGTCACAGAAGAGTTAGAGGAGACGCGAGGAAATCTCTTTCTTAAAACAGAGGGTGGTGGGTGTCTGGAATTCGCTGCCCGAGTTGGTGGTGGAGGCAGAGACCCTAAACTGTTTTTAAAAAGTACCTGGGTCTGGATCTCAAGTACTGCAAGTTGCAGGACTGTGTAGGCTAATGGGATTAGAAAAGGACATCTGCATGTTTTGGGATTAGCGTGGACAAGATGGGCCAAATGGTCCCTTCTGTGCTGTATCATTTCTATGGTTCTAAATGAATGGTTGAAAACTAACTGCAGAGTTTCCTCTCCCTCGGATCTCACAAAACAGATTAGAATTTAAGGTGACCTGAAAATAAGCTCTTCCTCATCCAGCACCTCCTTACCAGGCAAGATCAACAACATTCAAGCTGAACTGCCACACCAACCCAATTCCCTAGGCATTGTTAAATAGTGGCATACAATTCTTCTGATAGATCTCACAAAACTACATTTATATAGTAGCTGCCCCAAACTCAGAATGAATCTCTTTACAACCAATTAAGTACTGACACAGAGTGTAAGTCACGGTCATCCAGAAAAATGCAGTAGCCAATCTGGACACAAGATCCCACAAAAACACAGGAATACATGGTTTCAAACAGAACGGCCAATAACATTACTTGAGAGATAAACGCGAGCCAGGGTGCTGGAAGAACACAGCCCTCCCCCACTGCCATGCTACTTTGAGTAACGCATGGAAACTTCTACGTTCACATGAAAGGAGAACCATTCCACCATTCAACGTATTATCTGAAAGGTGTTAGCTGCCCCTTGCTATTACACCAGCATGTTCAGCTTAGATAATCATCTCTGCAAAGGGAACTTGAGCCTACAACCTCCTGACAAGGGGTTGCCTCTCACAGCCGGGCACATCAGGGGCACAGACATGTGCACGAGGACAACACCTTCAAATATACTCGATAACACTGGAAAAAAAAACAAAAAAAATTGTTCACCTGATGGTAACTTGAGGCTACATTGGAGCCAAAATTTACACCAGAGAAGAATGAAAATCAGCTTCATTCGATGAACAGCATTACATTTTGGGTGACCATTTTACATTAGAATTGGTCTCATTTAGCCAGCAATCTACTCAAATAAAACAATACTATAACATCACTGAGAGGCTACTCCCTAAACACTTAACTGGAGGAAGCCAGTTAATGACAGACACTTTACAGTCTAATAAAAAGACTTGCCTCCACACCTAGGGCACCAGATGTTGAAACCTGCTACAATTCTTGCAGCATAAACCACAACAGCGCTGGCATTCTATGGCTGAGCATAGTCCCAATGAAGATTGATTATTTAAATATCAGAATTGTTAGCCAATCTGAAATGGATGGCCGTTGACGGAACTTAACAGCCAAGACTAGGGAACAATATTTTCATGTAATGGACTAAATGAGTTTACACACCAAACCCCATGCTCATCTTCCTCAGCAAATTTTCCATCCTCTCACAAAGGCAAAGGCAATGGCAATCTTTTACTATGATATGAGAAAACGAAAACCAGAGTTCTATTTTTCAGAGCTTAGTCTTTACAGCAAGTGCTCTCCAGCTTTGCTACCAGAAGTAGGCCAAACGTGGGGTTTGAAGTTTACCTCTTGGTTCAATAGGACAAAGTCGTGGTTTACAGTTAGAATGCACATTTTACTAAAATGTCCCAAGAGGCATGATCAAACAAAATTTGACTGCAAGCCACATAAGGTCCCATTCAATCTGAATAGAAAAAGCTTGGTCAAATAGGCTGGTTCCTGAGGTTTAGGGAGGGAATTCCAGTGGCTGGGACCCTGTATGGCACCTGAAGACATGACAAACTCGAGTGCAATTAAAATCAGAGATGCTGAAGAGGCCAGTGTTAAAGGAGTGCAGATATGTCTCAGTTCTGGGACTAGAGGAACTTCGTGAAGGAATGAACTGGTGAAGGTTTTGAAATGAAACCATCAATTTTAAAACCAAAGCACTGTTGACCCAGGAGCCAATGTAGGTCAGCGAACACACAGATAATGGGCAAATGAACTTACTTAAGGCTATCCAAACTCAATAAAAACCTGAAAGAACTGCAGATATTGTAAATCAGGAACAAAAACAGAAGTTGCTGACAAAGCTAAGGAGGATTGGCAGCATCTGTGAAGAAAAGAAAAATCAGAGTTAACGTTTTGGGTCCAGTGACCCTTCCTCAGAATATACTGGTCCTGAAACGTTAACTGATTTTTGATTCAGATGCTGCCAGACTTCTGAGCTTTGCCAGCAACTTCTGTTTTTGTTAGCCAAACTCAGTTTTATATAGAGAAGGTGGAAAGCTGGCCAGCAGTATGTCAGAATAAAGTCTGGAGGTAACAAAGACATTGATGAGGTCTTCAACAGCAGCTGAACTGAGGCAGGGGCCAAGCTATACAAAGCTCATCTTTGGTTCAAGTGTGACAAAGGTCACAAACAACCAATCTGGCTCAACCTGAAGACAGCTGCAAGAAAGGGGAATGGAATCGGCGGTTTTGGACCAGGGTAGCAATTGTCCCAATACGTAGGTATTAATGATAACAAGGTGTAGAGCTGGATGAGCACAGCAGGCCAAGCAGCATCAGAGGAGCAGGAAGGCTGACGTTTCAGGCCTAGACCCTTCCTTTGTTGAATATTTGGTACAAATTATAAATATCAATTATTCTTATTTGAAACTTAAGACTTCTTGGACTTAACATGTTCTGTATTTCCAGGTTGATTTGGCAGGAACCAATGGAGAAACCACAACTCAAGGTAATTGGGCAG